TTCGCTTTGTTTGTTTATGAAAGCCGAAGAAATCACTGTTATGACTAGAATTGTTTATCAATGCAAACCTCCGTATTATACATCAAATAGTACACGTGTTAATAATTTAAAATAAGATTCTTGTTATGATCAATGCCGTCAAGCATTTCACTTTACAAGACGTTTCTCATCTTTTCCCAACTTTTCTTTATTGTATCATGAAATCATCAAACGACTTGTAACGACCCCAGTATCGTCCCGCTTGTCATTGATATTATATTATTATAGAAGATAAAGATAAACTTATGTAGATGAAGAACATAATAAAAAAAGACTTTGGTCTCAAAAACTTGCAACTCTCTTTAGATAAACGATCCTTGTGAATTAAAACTACATTTTGCTCCATCCTCAGCGTGAGAATGGCAGGTATATTCTATGGCCATATGAACGCGCGCAACGACTCATCATCCACCGATCATGGCTATATCTATCCTATTCTCATCGTATATACGAAACGAAACGATTTTGATTCTTTTTAATTCACTTTTTTTCAGTGAATTTTGCTTTTTCATCGTTTCCAGCCAACACACACAGGTCATCTCGAGCTAGCTAGTCTAAAAATGCAATGTCAATAATCAAACCGTTATATTTGCACGATATGAACGTGTTAATTCTCCCTCATAAATCGCATGTTCGGGGTATATTGTGTTTTCTAATATTCCAGTTCTTGTTCTTAGAAATATGTGAAGATTTATTACTTGAATGTACATTTATAATTAAAGGGGTACGGAATACTATACTGTCTTCCTCTCAAGTGATCTCGGCATCCCAGAACTTCACAGCGCCCACTGATTCACAAGTGGAAGAATATTGAATATCACCGAATCGACTTTTTTCGACTATAGTATACCATAATATATGTAAAACTAGATGGAAAAATACAAGAACACAGTCATGGAAAGACGAATAATAATCAGAAAGAAAGTTGAAAAATAGCAGTCAATGCAACACGGAGATAAAAAGACAATATCGTGATGTGTTATTCAAGTGTGTGAAATGTATTTATTTTTATCAAATATTTGACAACTATTCATATTGAGAATTCAGATAATAATAACTAACAGTTATTATCAAAATAATCATTGATATACATTAGATATTATCCATTATAGCAATTATTAATTTCTAATTTCTAATGATTATTTTCCACTGCATTGTGCCAAAATTGCTCTAGAAACAACTGTAGCATAATCCCTACCAAGCTTACCAAAAGCAAACTGACACTTGACTTGACATGAAAGCAAACAGTTTAAACACTCTGTCACATCAAGTCGTCTTTTTTTGCCATTTTTTCTTGTTAAGCATCGTTAGTAGTCTGAGAATGCCTCTAGTGCAATAATATTTCCAACCGCGTCAGAATCATTTATTGTGAGGACATCAGAGCTCAGAGTAAGGAGCGACTTATTTGGCTCACACAACGAAACATGAGATTCTTACTTTTAACGTTTGGGTTGTTGGCTGTTCTTGGTCTCCAATTAACAAATGCGGCTGGAAATGAAAAGGTATTTCAGAAAACATTGTATTTTTTCCAAATTGTATTTCCCTTTTCCGTCGTCGTGAAACATGTTTGGAAATTCTGTCCCCATGTTTTTTGTATTCGATGCAATACCAGTTAGGACAACGTTTTGCTGTATGCTGCATATCGCCTTATAGAGAAAACGATAAGTTTTTAAACATGTTAAGCAAATATTGTTCAGCTAAGACTTAGACACGCTCCATCATCTAATAAGGAATCGACACCTGTTTGAAGGATAACAAAAATCAAAATCGTTTAGAGTATAGTTTAGAAAGCGTATTCTTAATTCAAATTTTATAGCTTTACGTTTGAGGCTTTCTTAAGCAAAACTTCGTTATGCAGTAAAACCTTACCTTGCGTATTAGAACCTAAAATTTTGTATGAAAGCTGTGTGAATTACAAATATAAAATGCCAAAACCATCAGTACAATCACTCTCGCTTTTACTCAACAAAACTTAAGAGGCCCATTTAACTTTTAACAACTTACAGGGCCGTAGCTAGAGTGAACGGATAACCGAGGCAAGCCACCCAAAGCGGGAGGAACTAATTTGAAATTTAGTCTCTCGCAAATGCGATTTGCAGCGTTTTGTGGGCCTTTTGGTAACTCTTTATTGAACAGATTTAACCGGAATTCATCATGCAATATTTATGAAACCAAGAAGCTATACGTACAAGATTAATATTATTTTTATATTTTTTGCACAAAGAATCACAGTCGTCGTACGAAATCGGCTCTGAGAGGTTAAGGTGATATCAGTGATGAAAAACAAAAAGCATCGGCAAAATTTTACCCGGAGGCGAGTGCCTCGGTTGGCCTCTTACTAGCTACGGTCGCTACGGCCTTGAGTCTTAGAGAACCTGATTTCACGCACCATTTATATGAAAACCTGAACTGAGTCATGTAGAAATCTAAGTTATATAGGCAGGGTTTTACTATCTTTTATTTTCGATTTCTTTGAGCCCATGCTTTACTTTGGCCGAATCTCTGTCTGAGAGCAGAGGTAACAGTTTATTTGTTTGCTTAGTTTTCTTTGTTTCTCAGAATTTGGAAGAGCAAGATGAAAATGACCAAACTGAGAGGAATATATTAACGAAAAACTCGTTTATTTACCACCCCAGAAAAGGTAATTTTCCTTTCTTCCTTATAATAACCATTACAGATTTATTTCAAACCAGCTATTTTTTATATATTTTTTTTTCAAACGTGAATATCGATGAAAGATCGTATTTCAGTTCGGCACCGGCCACTGATGGTCGTTAATGTCAATTATTGATGTCAATTATTCAACACACAAACAATATGATTGAGAACAGGACCATGTGAATCCATTTGGATACTTGTACTTATTTTGCATATTTATCTTATACAAGTCGGTTTGGATAATTTCTAAATTAGACTTCAGTACCTTTGTAATAATAAGGTTATGTATAAGTGTTACTATTCTATTCACAGCTCATCGTTGCGACCTCCCCCTTGGAATGGAAGATGGACGAATCCTTGACCATCAGATCACGGCTAGCGGCAGCAAAAGCTCAAAAAGCGGGCCGAGACGAGGGAGACTGCACCTTACTGGAAAGTATGGTGCCTGGACTGGTGGTAGCTGGCTTCAAATTGATTTGGGTGATGTTGCCAAGGTGACCAAGGTTGCTACCCAAGGACGATATGATGCTGATGAATGGGTCCGGCAATATTACATACGCTACAGTATTGACGGGGTTCACTGGACATACTGCGAAGATTATAGGAGTTATGTTAAAGTAAGACATAATCAATTTCACTGATATTAAAAAAGCGTTTTAATTCGGTCTTAGCTTGATAATGTAACCTTTTGTACTCGACAACGACTCATTGATTAAAATCTTTTTATGTCTAGATTTTCAGTGGTAATACTGACCGTAATACAGTGGTAACCAACGCCCTTTCACCGCCCATCTACGCTCGTTACGTAAGGTTCCAACGGCATTCCCATCATAAACGTACTTCTATGAGAGTAGAGGTCTATGGATGTAGAAACGGTAAGTAGATCTTACTACTTATTTTGTTATATAAAGACACATGGCTCTGCAGTATTGTGTTTTATTTGTTTTTATTAGTC